AAAAAGTGTTAATCGGGAATGGGGCAATGGATTGAAACCTCAAAGCCTGCCCCAGTGACATAAGTCCTTTAGTAAGGCCACATTTTATAGAACTCCCTAAATTATACCACCAAATGTCACAGCCTATGGGGGACATTCTCATTCAAACTGCACAATATGATTCTGCAATGGATCTGGCCATGAAGACATGGACATAGTAGACACATTAAGTCTAATTTGAACTTAATAAATATCTCCTCAGTAAATGAAAAAGTATATTTCACAATAGAGAAATTTGCAAATGTCTTAAGAAGCCATAGAAGAGCTTCACTACAGTTTTGATGGATTAGCTTGAATTATGAGAAAACTATATCTGCTTTGGTGCAGTGTTGAAACATGTTTAACATTTTAATATTAACCTATTCTTTAAAGCCTACAATATGAGATATGAAACGTATCTTTTAAATTTGAGACCCTTACTGTCATAATTATCTTGAGATAAATTTGTCTTATGCTCTAGATTCAAATGCTTAAGAGTATGTTAATGATTATGCAAAATTAAAAAGAAATATGCAGATATAATAAGGGTATAGGACTAAAAGTGAAATATTCCTGGTGAGATCAAATCATGGGGAACCAAAAGAATGTTTAAGAGTATCGCTATCTTCCTAATGCAGACTTCAGAAGGCAAGGATCTCATCCCAAACATCTCAGTTCCATTAATAACCTGTCATAGTTATTTATCCATGCAGTTAGCTAAGCATCACCTTTTAATGTAATGAAGTAGTTTAGGACGGCCAATTTCTTCCATCTGTTTCCTGATCTTCAAGGTTTATTTAAATAAAATGATATTTAAAATGTATGAATACATAAAAATTATACTATAAGTTTACTGACTTTTCTAAGTAGCTGAGGAGTCCTACATAATTTTATAGAATTAATATCATTCATATTTTCCCCTTTCATCTCCCTTATTTTTCTTTTCATTGATTTTTAATTTGTTGTTGTAAAGACAAGATTTTGCTATGCAGCAGCCTAGGCTAACTGAGAACTCATGGAGCTTCCATCTCAGCCCCCTGAGAATTGTGATTGCAAGAATTTGCCACCATGGCCAACGTTCATTTATTCATTTTAAAGTTTCTATTTCTAAAGTTTTTACTGTGGGCCAGCCACTGGAGTTAGTTATCTATTGTAGATACATATATTCATGAGACAAAAGTGTTTTCTTAGATGGAATAATTAATATGTTGTACTCAGGGCCTAATTCAGACTTTTTGAGTCAATTATTACTAAACAAATATCTCCACCATTTTGCATTTCATTATTCTGAGATAGGGCAGAAAAAGAGAGCCAAGATCTTAATGAGTTTAAAGAAAATGTTTAAAAATAAGTGGAGAGATTTGTAACAAATAGTAAACAGGAGTCTTTTCTAACAAATTCTATAAAAATTTGTGTTGGGGCAAAGAATACAATCTTTTTGTCTCCCATACTGGGTGAGACTTTCATGCAAATGTTTTAATCCTCCCCACCAAGTAAAGTCTTTGTTTACACAAAGTTCCCCTGCTACATTCTAGGAATTTGATGACCTGAAGCAGTGACCCCTTTGTCCCTTCCTCTGCCATTTCCTTTGTTCTTTTAACACTAGCCAATTGAATAAGACTGTGGAAGTAGGACTCCAGCAATTGAGAAAAGACAAAGTCATCACCTGAGTAGAATAAAACCAAACCAAATATATCTCTTAGTTGCCTGTATTTCTTTGTGCAAGGTTAAGGCCAGCCCTGAGACACACATGGTAACAACATACTGACTGAGCAGGTTGTACTTACACATTTAGGAATTTAATATATGTGTGCATACCTATATGTACATATATACACACACTTTAAATATATATGTATATGTATATATACACACACACTATATGTGTGTATGTATGTAACAACAATTAATGAAAACAGAAGCTATGAATTAGAAAGAGAGCAAGGAGTGGGTATACTAGGGTTTGGAGGGAGGAAAGAGAAGAGGAAATAATGTATTATAATCTCAAAAAAATAATTTGGGAAAGAACCAAGTGCACTTCCTATTGATGTGTGTTCATTTTTTGGAGCACACCCTCTTAATTAAGAGTAAAATTAATTTTTGTTTAGACACTCCAGTAAATATCGTTTTGCCCCAGTTGAATTTAATTTCTGAATAACAAATAGAACATATAAATTGTATTAGGACTGGTGAAGAAAGGAAATTCAGTAATGTGATACTGCCAAGCAGAGGCAGAGTAGCACACTCTGATAGGTGAAGAAGAATGTGTTATTTTAATAAGTGAGACTTACATTGAAATCAGAAAGATAAAGATTTAGTCATTCAAAAATAAAAGACAAGAATTTTTGAGCAAAGGAAACAGGGTCTGAAAATTCTCAAAAGTGGAAAAAAAGATTAATGTAATATATGAACAGAAAAGGGTCAGTGTCAAAAAGGGAAAATAGAATATGTGGGAGACAGGAGCTAAGCCCTTTGAGGTTGCTACAGACCAGTGCTTTGGGGTGGGAGGCTATTGAATGCTTATATACAAAACTGTATTGTTATTTAATTATACTTCTTCTGAAAATTTTGTAGGGATAATGAATTAGAGAGAGGAAATAAAAAGACTTTTTTCTTAAAATATGTTTAATGAATCAAAGCAATGAATGAAAAGGTAGCTTAAAGCAGTGGCTATAGAAATATAAGTGGGCGATTTAAAGGTATATTTGTAGATATGGCTCATAAAGTAATATTAAATTGCTTACTTCTCTTTATCCATTTCAAGACTGGAGTCCATTGAATGAAGAATTGATGTCTTATTAATCTTTACTCCCAAGTGAGCCTATTCAATAAAAAAACATTTTCTAATAGCTTGGATTACCTGGTGCATGGAGTTCACTCATTAAATCTTAAGGTAGAGTTTTCTATGCTTAATGAAATACTTGCTAGTTTTAATATATTATAATATAGTGAACAGGACCATATCTTCTCTTTCAATGCCCATTCAAGATCTTACATAATCTTCAACAGCATTCTTTTAGGATTTTCATCCTTCAGGTTTAATAAACACACTTTTTCTCTCACATGGAAGTTCTAGCTTTTCACTGATTATTCTGTCATCTTCCTCTGGATTCTCATTAGCCATTTTATGTCTTGTTTGTAATGTGAAAGCACTATACTCCTGGTGTGAACATGCCACAATTCTGTATATCAGTCAAATGCTAGATTTTATTCTATTTCTATATATTTTCTATTAAAGTCTAATATTTTTACTTTTTTTTTCCGTTCTAAGAAGTAGGATCCAAAGGCACACATGTTACATATTCCCTGTAAAAGCACATTATACACATACCTTGAAATAAAGTGGTGTGAAGTCTTTCGTTGCTTTTGTCCATGGTGAAACTTATCTATCATTGTCTTCCCTTTTATATAGGCTATGATAAGGTTCTTATATTTTACCCTGGCAGTTTGACATTTCACTATCTCTAGAAGAGCTTAGTGTCAATTAAATTTGTTCCTTCAAATTACTTTAAAAAAAAACTGTCAGATTGGACTGGCCCCTGGGAGATTTCTCTATTTATATTTTTTGTGTAGAACAATTTTTCCCTACATAGTGTTTCTTGTCTGTAATACCTTTCTTTTCATGACAAAAATAGTCTTCTCAACATAAGTAATATATGGCAATGTTTATAAAAAGGTACTTTGAAATGAAAATGACATAAAAATTTGTTCTATTTTCTTCATATTATTGGCAATGAATGAGTTTAATCTGATTAATTCAGTATGGTTTCCCACATAGAATATGTCACTTCAGCTATGTATTTATCTTTCATGACATTGTTTGCTGTGTAAATAAAATTTAGAATCCCCAACAAAACCTTTCTATGAATGCCAACTAGCATTATTTCTACATTTCTGATGAATATTTTCATCATTAGCCAATAGCTTCAAAATCACTCCCTTTTCACAAAAATCATGAAATCCTTTTGAATTTTCCTATGCTTTAGGTTAATTTATCAAGTAAATCTATAAATCCATAGCATTTTATAATCTCTCTCTCTCTTTCTCTTTCTCTTTCTCTCCTGCTTTTCTCTCTCCTGAGTAGCATGAAGTTAAGAGCTTCTTCCTCTTGTTCCCATCACCTGTATGATTGGGTTTGGAGCCTGCTAGGCTCAACAGTGTACACAAATCTCAGACTCTGTCCATACTCATACTTCAGTGGTAAAGTGTGGGTTTCATTGAGCCCCTCTCCCTTCTTCCACTGACTATTGATTAGGCTGGTCTTGCATAGGCTCAGTGCAGATGAACTACAGGTGATGTGAGTTAAGGATTACAATAATTTTCACTGTTTATAGTAAAAAAAAAAAAGATGCTTCTCTGATTAAATTTGGGAACTACTTTTGCCTTGGGATGTGTATGTATGTATGTATGTATGTGTGTGTATGTATGTATATGGCAGTTTGCTGCTAAATCAATTTAGTTACTACAAGAAATAGACTATTCACATGGGCCTGCTTCCCCTGACCTGGATTGTTAGCCAAGTTTACAATGCTAAACATTGCTTCCCCTAGTAGCAGTAGAGAACCTCTTGAATCCATTCAGAACACAATTGTCAGCTCTTCATCAGTCAAGCAGACTACAGAACTAAGCAGAAAGTACATAAAAGAAAGAAGGGAGGAAAGAAAGAAAGAAAGATGAGTGTCTAAGAAATTATTTATTTATTTAAACTCTACTGTTGTTTCCCCTCCTTTAATCTCCTTCTAGTCCCCCCCCATCTTCTCTCTGCTCCCCATCAACTCCTTCTCCATTTCTATTCAGAGAAGGAAAAGCCTCCAATGGATATCAATCAAACATGGCATATCAAGTTGAAGGCTGGATGAGGCAACGCGGTAAGAGAAATAGGGTCCTAAAATCTGATACAAGAATCAGAGACAGCCCTTGCTCCCACTGTTAAGAGTTCCACAAGAAAAACAAGCTACACAACTGCAAAATACATGCAAGGGGCCTAGGCCAGTCCCATGCAGGATTCCTTGTTGTCAGTTCAGTCTCTGTGAGCTCCTATGAGCCCAGGTTAGTTGAGTCTGTGGATTTTCTTGTGGTATCCTTGACCCCTATGGCTTCTACAATCCTCCACTGATACCCCTAGCTCTACCAAATGTTTAGCTGTGGTTCTCTGCATCTATTTCCATTAGTTGCTGGGTGAAGTCTCTCTGACCATTGGGCTAGGCACCAATCCAATCTATGAGTATATAGCAGAATATCATTAGGAATCATTTCATTGACTTTTTTTCACTAGTTGTATTTGGTTCTATTCTAAATCTCTGGGATACACTTTAAAGAGCATTTGCAATCCTTAGCCATTAGGAAAATGCAAGTTAAAATTAGTTTAAGATTGCATCTCACCTCAGTTAGAATGTCTACCACCAAGAATACCAATAACAACAAATACAGGTGTGGATATGCTGAAAGGGTGACCCTTTTACATTGTTGGTAGAAATGTAAGCCAGTGTAGCTACCTTGGAAATCAGTCTGGAAGTTTTCCCAAAAAAAAAAAAAAACTATCATATATATCTCCCAGCATTCTATACTCTTGAGCATATACTCAAAGAGCTCTCATATACTCAAATGTACTCTATTTCAAGGATTTCTGGACATTAATGTTCATTACTGTCATATTTACAATAGCTAAGAAATGGAGACAGATTAGATGCTCAACAACTATTGAGTGAATATTGAAGATGTGGTACATTTACACAATAGAATATTATCCAGCTATATAAAAATAATGAGATTTGCAGAAAAATGTATAGAGTTAGAAAAAAATCACATTGAGATAACCCAGATCCAAGAGGACAAATTGTAAGAGGTCTCGTCTGGCGCCTTCATACGTCATCAGCAGATGACTGTGTCCTAGCCTAAAAGCCGGACGTTCACCCCCACACCCTCTCTCTGCACTCCTTCTCTCTGCGCTTTCTCGGTCTCTGTGTCTCTGACTCTGTCTCTGTCTCTCTCTGTCTGTCTGTCTCTTATTCTCTCTCCTTCTAATAAAGCTCTAAAAAGTACCATGGCTCGTGACTCTTCTGCCACCTCAGTATCCAGTGCTAGCCACCAGTGCCGTATACCTGCGGAGTGCCGTATACCTGCGGTATCCAGTGCCAGACACCAGTGCCGCACCACCCTAGACACTTTCACAAATACCATATGTTCTCTCTCATATTAAGGACTTAGTTCTAACTCTTTAGTATTGTGTGTCTAACATGAAGTATCTGTGCAAGCCAGAAAATAAGGAGAGTGTTGTAGAAAATAGGTTAAAAAAAAAAAAGAAAGAAAGGAAAGAGACAGAATACTGTGAGTGGTAATGTTTAGACAGGGAAAGTATTGTGGATTTGGGAGATGAAGATGTGGAATGGGGGAAGGACTAACCAAGATAAATGGAGTGAAAATAAACCAATTGGTAAAAATTTAAAAATATTTGACAAGCATTTGAATAAGTGAGGAATAAAACTTGACTGTTGACTTAGCAAGATTAATATTTTGGTCTCCTTTTGTATGAAATTTAAGTTGGTCTTATAATAAAAAAAACCTGGAACTAAATATTGGGGTAAATTCTGAAAGATCAGAGAGACAAAGGAACAAGCCACAGCCACTTCTCAGCTCCACAAATACTCTGAATGTCTCTGAGTCCTCAGCCAAAAGGGGTCCAGCCGAAAAGGGCTCCTCAGCTGAAAAGCTGGAGTTCCTGTCTCCTCACACCTTATATGCCTTTCTCCACCCAGCCATATCACTTGCTGTCTCAACCTCCCTAGTGCTGGGATTAAAGGCACATGTGCCTCCCAAGTACTGGGAGCAAAGGCATGAGATCCCAAGTGCTGGGATTAATGGCATGTGACTCCCAAATCCTGGGATTAAAGGAGTGTGCCACCACTGCCTGGCTCTTTCTCTCCTAGATTGAATCAATCTCATGTAGTCCAGGGTGGCTTTGAACTCACAGAGATCCAGATGGATCTCTGCCTCCTGAGTGCTAGGATTAAAGATCTGTGTCACCACTGCCTGGCATCTATGTTTAATTTAGTGGTTGGCTCTGTCCTCTGATCCCCAGGCAAGCTTTATTTGATACACAATATATCACCACGTCACCTTAGCAAGAATTGTTCAAGTGAAAATATGGGAACTAAATCCTTAATTAATTTGCTAAAAAGACAATTAGAGATTGTAAATATAGAAAGCAAATTTGAAGGGTTTTTCTCTAAACAAGAATATGATAAAGAGGTAGTACAGTAAAAAATGTAACAAAAGAGTTGGAGTTGAATGCAAGGGCTGATATGAGTGACAATGTCAAAGGATTCTTTGTGCCAATGTTACTATATACTTACAATTTTTAGGGCACTAGAAGGAGTAACTACACAAGAAAGTGCTAGATCAACTTGATATTTTGGTAAGATCAAAAATTCATGTCATGACTGTAGCCTCAAAGTTTCTCCAGTCCAACCTGGCCCTGTGATCCCATGTTTCTCCAGTTCCATCAAGCCCTGCAGTCCCATAGCCACTTATAAAATAATAATACAGAAGCTTAATATTAATTGTGAATTCTATGGCCTATTGGCTCAGGCTTCTTGCTAGCTAGCTCTCACAACTTAACTCAACCCATAACTATTAATCTATGTATCACCACATGTTGCATGGCTTTACCTGTGTCCCATTACATGTTGCTCCTTAGATGGTGGTTTGGCGTCTTCCCTCTCACCCTCTCTCTTGGATTTTCCCACCTGGCTCTATCCTGCCCTACCATAGGCCAATGCAGCTTTATTTATCAACCAATCAGAGCAACACATATTCACAGAGTATAGAAAGACATTCCACAGCACTTCCCCTTTACTGTCTAATCAAAAAGTAAGGTTTTAACTTTAATATAGTAAAATCACATATCATAGCATAGTTATCAAGCAAGAATTACAGTTACAATATCTAGTCTATTTGTATTTAGCAAAATTAAAGAAAATATTCTATCATCTATCCTATATTTCTGAGTCTAAAGTTTCATGTCTAATATATCTGTTATCATGACTAAGGAAAGCTATAACTATAACTATCTAGTTTTCAAGTCCATCAAAGACCCCCAGAAGATACAATATTACCTGAGTAAACAGGTAGTACATTGCAAGCAACTTCCATAATTCTAGAACTAACAGAGACAGCTGGCTGGCTAGACAGTCACCCAAAGTTCCTCTGCAATGTTGGGGCATCCATCTTCAGCTTGTAGGCCTAGAGTCTCTCAGTCACATATCCCTGTGTCTTATAGACTGTCTGGCAGTCTCCTCTGCAAAGTAGGAACCTGAAGGACCATTTGTCTTGTTTTGGCAAAATTTAGTGGTCATTTTCCTATGGGTCCTGTATGTCCATTTTATACAATGTATTATCAAGCAGTCCAGGCATGAGCAGTTTCTTGCCCAAATGGCAAGTTTTGGAAAGAAGATAAATTCCATATGGAGTGTCTTTGATGCCCATCATTCTCTTTGAAGTAAATTGGTGCTGCTAGGAGTAGACATGTCTCACTGCCCAGAAAAGTCTAAGTTTTTAAAATATTTTAAATGCCATATTCTGTAAGTATTTGAAGCGTTTGAAGATTACCTACCTAACTGAAATATATATTTGTATACCTAGAAAACTTGACTAATATAAGTTTATCATAAATGATTAATTATTAATCTGTATTTCCTAGTTATACATTACAATTTTAAATGAGTTGCATAAACATAATACCTTAAACAAGAGTAGAAATATGTATATATAGTATAACAAAATTAACTTCAAATTTGTATCAATAAACTAAAATCCACAGCAATGTAAAACATTTCAAACAAGTTGTTGCTCCATAAAAGTAGATTCAATAATCTACTCCTTTATCCTATCATGTCTATATCCCCTTTTCTTATTTAGATAGAGATTACATTTATAATCAACCTCCTTTAAATAAAAATGAACATTTATAAACAATATTTTAGGATTGGGGCATAGCTATTTCCTGCTGATTAGGGGCACTGGCAAACTTATGGGGATCCTGAGAAAATTAAGAATTATAGTTAAATCTTTGCTGTGGCAGTCGATGAGGCTGTATTGACCTTTCAGGGGGTTTTGGTTGATCAAACCATATTAGGCTAAAAGCAATCCGTAAGTTCTTATCTTCTGTGGAAACAAAAGAAGAACCTCTTTTCCAAAGCAACATATCCTTAGACACAAATTTTAAAGTCAAAATACTTTAAGATATACATATTGATTTAATTGACTAACCTTTACAATCAAATGTCCTTCTACAGTGAAAAATCACAAAAACAATAAAATAATATGTAGTATCAAGTTTCTTTGTGTAGCTTCCGTCCTTCTGTGGCTTAACATTTAAATTATTCTTATTGTCTCTTTAAAGACTTTATTTTTTAAAACCCTCTATCTATCTATCTATCTATCTATCTATCTATCTATCTGTCTGTCTGTCTGTCTGTCTGTCTGTCTGTCTGTCTATTTATTTATTTATTTATTTATTTATTTATTTATTTATTTATTTATTTATTTATACGAGACAGAGTTTCTCTGTGTAGTTTTGGTGCCTGTTCTGGATCTCACTCTGTAGACCAGGCTGGCCTTGAACTCACAGAGATCCTCCTGGCTCTGCCTCCCAAGTGATGGGATTAAAGCTGTGCATCACCACATCTTTATATAACTTTTCATATAACTGTTTATATTCTTTATATAACTGTTTATATTCCTTTCCTTCTCTCTTCCAAGCCAATGTACATTTTTACATACACTGTAAACCATTTAGAGTTTTATCCATCTGAGTCTGTTTTATTGTGAATCTGTAATCACTTTTTGATCATTGATTTAAACTGCAGTGTGGCTAGGATTGATGCAGCAGCCCTGGATACTGGCTCTGCTCACTTTAGCTTCCCAACATGACAGAGGTATGTTTACCACCAGTTCTGGGGGAACCATGCTCAGCACTGACTCTGGGAAATAGTGGGTCTGTGCCTGTATCTAGCAGCATATAGCCAAGAAACATTTTTTTGTCTGTACTAACAAAAGTTAAATCTACTATGCAGTGTGTTACACAGTTTGGAAAACCTCTGTGTACAGTGGCAGTGGCAGGAATCTGCCATGCTGTAACTCAAGCCTGTATGCCACAGCGTCTCTAAATCATGGCTTGCTTGAGAGAAACAACTAGGAAGCTGCTTTTAGCTCTGTTTTAGAATCTTTTTTTTTTTAAAGCTTTTTCATGTTTTGGGTGGAAATTCATGCCCATGTTTGGTGCTAAATGTATCCACCAAGTTTCTCTGGTCCCACCCAGCCCCATGGTCCTGTGTTTCTCCAGTTCTACCTGGCCCTGTGGTCCTACGGCCACTTATAAAATAATTACACAGAGGCTTAATGTTAATTGCAAATATATGGTCTATTGGCTCAACCTTTTTGCTAGCTAGCTCTCACAATTCAACTCAACCCATAGCTATTAATCTATTTATTGCCATGTGTTCTGTGGCTTTCCTTGCATCCCATTACATGTTGCTCCTTGGACAGCGGTTTGGTGACTCCCCTTCCTCTCCTTTCTCCTTTCACTGTCACTCTTGGATTTTCCGGCCTGTCTCCATCCTGCCCTGCCATAGGCCAGTACAGCTTTATTTATCAACCAATCAGAGCAATGCATATTCACAGTATACAGAAAGACATCTCACAGCATATGACCACATTTAGGGAACAAATAAAGGCACACATCATTGAAGTGAAATTCATGACAAGATATCTGAGTTGAAAAAAATTAGAAATCATGTTTTTGTAGGAATTATCTAAGATATGGATACTGAAGTGACTCAGATTACCTAAGGATAGAAATATTTTAGTGATGAAGTTTTTTAATAAGAGGAAAGGTGAAAGAAATCACTATATCTAACATAAGCATTTGAATTGGGTATTATAATTTGGTGGATTGTCAAAAAATTTGAGGATTCTGAAGTGAGAGACATGCTTTGCAAAAGGCAATGGGGAATAGAAGGACATCTATTTGAATCTCTGATCCTATTGATATGTGGAATATAAGTATTAGAACAATTTTTCACTTATAGATATAAAGGGGAGTCAGAGTCCTAGGGTGTTATGCAAATTTGGTTTTGAGCATATAGATAAAATGAACATTCAGTGAGATTTGAACCAAAATAGGTATTTCTTATGTCAGACTATGAACATTAGTATTTACAGTGAAAGATTGACCTGAGTGCAGTCTGAAGATGAAAGAAGATTCTGAGACTGGGTTTATGGTGGAAATTTCAAGATACAATCCATGAGCATGTATATGTATTTTGTAGTGTTTCCTAAAAGCTCTTGAAATCTCATGATGTTTTAACACTGTAGGACCTCAGAATAAAAAAAAATTATACACACAAGCAACATTAAGCAGACTCAGTAGGTTGTATTTATATATTTATTCATATATATGCATACATGCAAGGAAAAGAGGCCTTGAATTTAGTGGAAAAGGCATATAGGAACAAGTGGAGAGAGGGGAAAATGTTGTAAATATAGTAAAATATGTAATTAAAATAAATTTATTTAAAAAAGAAAAAATAGAGATTATATCCATGGCTAAGCAGGGAAAAACACACCTTTAATTATAGCATTTCGGAGGAAGAAGCAGGTGGATCTCAAATTTGACATCAACCTGATCTACATAGTGAGTTCTAGGTTAGCTAAGAGCTACATAATGAGACCCTGTCTCAAAAAAAGTTTCCCCAAATAAAATATCATTCATGTATTGATGAAATTATTAAGGCCACTCCACGTAGTTAAAAGGGAGGTTTATTTCGTGGGGTAACTTACAAGTGAAGGGATAGGGAACAGGGTCTGGGAAAGGTATGGCGCAGTCCAGTGGTGTTCTCTGGAGAACTCTGCTCGATTTACCTCCAGCGTCCAGGATCCAGAAACCAAGAGGGCCAGTGCATCTGGATCTCAGGTTTTCAGGCTCCTCTCTCGGCCCCGCCTTGTAGGCATGCCAGTTACCAAAGCCTCAATGGGAATTGGAAATTCCAGATCAAAGCTGGAATGGTTACCCACTACATTCATGAAATAAGTTTGAAGTGGCTTAGATCAAGAATCAGAAAAAATACAATCTGGGAACTAATTACAAGATGATACTACTTTTATGAGTAAAATGTTATACTAGAATATAACAATATCTACTAATTTCTATTATATGTAGTTGCTTTGCTATATTGAAAGCGGTCCTACAGACATATACACTAAGTACTTGGTCCTATGGAGACAAAGTTTGGCAGTTTCTGGTCCAAACATATCTGTTATATTTTATTGGGAGAGAATTTTCTTTAATAATATGTATGCACCCCTACCAGAGACTCATTCAGTTACTCTGCTGTGCATGCTGGTTCTCTGGATGCTTCACAATTGCTCCAGGTGATTCTCACACAGAGGCCTCAAGCACCAAATGTACTAGTACTTTGATGTGAGTCAGAGTTGTTCAGATTTCCTTCCAAATGTAAATACCCCCAAGGTGTATTTGATAGGATATGTGTGTGTGTATCTTAAAAAAGATCTAATAATATCTAATATATATATATAATATATATCAGAATGTATACATAGAATATATATATATAATCCTTAGAATATATTATATACATTTTTAAGATTCCTTATCTGGAGATCAATTCAGTCACTCGTGGGCCTGAAAATGTGTATGTTTGATAAAATATCCATAAATGATTCTATTTTCCACAAAGTTTTAGGAAAATATAACTGAATATCTAATCCATCTGAACAGTGGCTATGCCTATAATCCAAAAAAAATAGTACTTGTTGTAATTGTATTATTTCTCTAAATATTGTTCGACTTGGACTGCTTTGTATTAAATTAATCAGTCAACTCTGTGGAATAATCCTTCTGTACACTGTGGCTATGTAATAATCTCATTGGTTAATATATTGGCCAGTAGCCAGGCAGAAAGTATAGGCAGGACAGCCAAACTGAGAATGCTGGGAGGAAGAAGGGCAGAGTTAGAGGAATTGCCAGCTAGACACAGAGGGAGCAGGAGGTGAATGTGCCATGCTAATAAAGGTACCCCCATGTGGCAGAGCATAAATAATGAAAATGGGTCATTTTAAGTTGTAGAAGCTAATTAGTAATAAGCCTGAGCTATTGGCCAAGCTTTGTAAATAATATAAGCCTCAGTGTGTTTATTTGAGAATGGCTGCCAGACAGGAAAACTCCACCTACAACCCACCACAAGCTATGACTTCACATGATATAATCCTTGTTTGGAAGAAGATGTCAGCTGGGAAGGGTAGAGGATCTGATAGGATAATTGTGGACAATAAGATCAAAGTGCATTTTATATATATAATATTATGTGTTTATAATTGTGAAAGATTAAATAAGTTAATGAGTTCGTGTTAATGGCCTGATTTTTAATTTAAAAAGCTTAGTCCATTTGTTCATTCAACAAGCATAATAACTTCTTTTAAAGATTTAGAGGTTAATGATCCAAGAGGTTAGATATTAAGTATTAAATTAATAATTGCATGAAAGAACCATTATGAATTAATTAAAACTGAAAGCAATATTAATAGGGGTAATGAATGATTCAGGAATATTGACAATTCAGGACAAACTTCTTCAGGGAAATGATTTTTAAGCTTTTCAGATTACTGCATTTTATTCTGAGTGTACCACACTGATGAACTATTGGTATAGATCTGTTGTGGGTATCTTGACCCTGGGCTCAGGTGCGAATAGATTGATGACTCCATATTTATTGCTCTTTTTTTATTGATTGATGAAAATTTCATGCTTTCTTTGGCCTCCCAGGCCTTTTACTTTCTTCTTCTGTGTTAGGTAGTACAAACTTGTACAAATATTCCACACAGTATTCCAAAGAGATGTATATATGCATGTATTTAATTTGCATACAGTTCATTTTAGCTTCTATGTTAATATTACTACATAAAAATGAAGAAAGTATAATACCCACTAAGGAAAGAAATTAATAGAAACAAAACATAAGTATCAAGTGTTTTCGTTAGCATGGTAACAGTACAACTTTTGCAGGGTTTTAATTTCACTCGTGTGTTGACAATAATCCTACATAAGATAGGTGTTATTATCATTTTACTGATAATGAAACCAAGACCCACAGATAGGAGATGGAAATGCATAGCCTGAGGTCAAACTAGCTGGCACAATCTTCTTCTATTTCTTATTATAATGACAAGGTAGCTCACTCAATTTTGTGGCTTGCCTTAACCTGCTTTCTCTCCTCTGTTCCCTGGGAGCCTGCTTATTTGCAGTTCAACAAGGCTCCTGCAATTTCGATTTGCTTTCTCCAGCTGTTCCTGCTGTTTGAAAGCTGGGCCATCAAAGCTCAGTTTGAATTCTGCCACTTTAGCCATGGAAACCTTTATCATTTTAACTGCCCTACTTGGAGCTTTAACTATAGTCAAGACCCATTCCTTCTCAGTGGAGAAAGTACCAGATCAGGAACCTCATGTGGTTCAAGTGGCTTAACTGAAGATAGCTTATACTCTCAAAGGATGTGACCATGGTGTCCTAGAGGGAGAACCTTTCTAGCCAATGAGCATAGATATGCTCCACCACTGCTCTTTAAATGTTCCTTCCCTGCCTGACCATGTGTAGCTGTGGTTATTGTAAGGAATCCTCTGCACAGAACAGACTTTTTCATAGAATGCATCACCCCAAACTATTCTGCCAGTGTTTTTTTTTTGTCATATATTATCACTAGAGAAATTTCCCCTGTTATGACCATTTATAAGAGGGCATCACAAAAATGAAGCATCACATTTCTGAAATTCTCGTAATTCCTACTCTGTGCACTATCAAAACCAGAGAGCATGGACTTTTCTCACGTCTGTCTCAATCAATACTGATGCAGAAAGTCCTGAGCTTCACCACAAGCTCTTTTTCATCGTGAACTATACCCTTTGCTCTGTATCCTTCAGTGATTTTGTCTGATTCTCAGACTAGCATCAAATAGAAACTGCAGTTGCTCAGGAGCTCTTAACTAATGCTTTTTCAAGTTCATTTTGGATCTAGATGTAAGACATTTTTTACACCCAGGCACATTTCTATTCTTTGCCTTTAGATGAAATCATCCACTGTATCTGAAAATGTTTTCCCTCCATCACTGAACCATATAATTTAGCACCTATCCACTAATTTAGCCTATCCTACCGTTTTCTGATCACCCCCACAAAATATCACACACACACACATGCTCACATGCACGAATACATACTTATTATTAAAACAACAATACTGAAACCTGTACCATGAATCTTAAAGGTACTTATTAAAATCAAACATGAGGCCAGTTATTGGGGTGATTGCTGGAAGATCAGAGAAGCAGAACAAGCCACAGCTACCTTACCTTGCCAATTCCTCAGCTGATCCTGTTTCCTCAGACTGGATGTCTCTGAGTCCTTATCCAAATGAATCTCAGCTGAACTGCTTCTTGAAAGCCTGAATGCTTAACCAGCTAAAAGCTTCTAGTTTCTGGTCTTCGTGCCTTATATACCTTTCTGCTTTCTGCCATCACTCCCTAGGATTAAAGGCTCACTTTCTGGGATTAAAGGCGTGAGTCACCCTGCTTCTTTGTATCCTTGAACACACAGAGATCCAGGTAGATCTCTGCCTCTGGAATGCTAGGATTAAAGGCGTGTGCTACAACTGCCTATCCTCTATGGTTAATATTGTGGCTGTTCTGTTCTCTGACCCCAGACAAGTTTATTAGTGTGCACAATATTTTGGGGAACACAATACCACCACAGAAACCTTTGATTTCATTAATTTTAGGTGCCCAATAATAAATTGTGAAGTGAAATAACTGAGTAAAAATCATATTCTACTACTCTTGTTGTATGTGATCATGAACTAGTTGCTAAATCTGTCTGGATCACAGAGCTTACATCTGGAAAATGGAATAATTAAAACCGTTTACCTTAAGTCCCTCTTCTCTATTGTCACAAGAATGAAAGATGACAGAGCACATGAAACCAAACAGGGCCTTGTGCTTATTAGTCAAGCATTCTACTAGTGAGCTACACACACAAGACACTATACTTGAAACAAAATACTAATTTTTTTGTTTTTGTACATTAATTGCGAGCTGTGTGATTTCCACAACAGAGTATGGTTCTGTTGGATAGAGTCAAGCTTGCTGATCTCACAAGGTTGCAGTGAAGCTTGGATCTTGTACTAGCATAGAGACTGCTGTTAAAAGGCATAGTAGTGTTCATCCCCACAAAATTGTGCCTCCATTCCATGCTTCTTTCCCTCAGGAAGACTGCTTTCCCTTGTGCATGTTTTTGCTTTTGTGTGTTAGTTACTATGCTGCCATTTCAAAAACTAACTTTATAGTTCTGGTTTTGAATAAAGTCCAAAAATTGAAGAAATATAAATAGGAAAATTGTTAGGCAGCAGCTTTGCTCTCAACCCCCGCCCCCAGACAAAAATAGAGCAGAAACTCATTTTTTCAGGAAATTTCTTTTGCTTCCACAATGACATTGCAGGAGCCCTGCATTCTGGTCATTAGTTACCCAAATGCTATTAAGGAAATGGAAATCCCAGCTATTCTGCTGGAAGTCATTCTTCTTAACTGAGTGAGCTCAGCTTTGAAGTAAGATCATTTCACTTTGGTTCAGCTGGTGACACTTTTCATTTTACCGGTTTTCATTATCTCATGCAATTCCAGGACTCTTTGGGACTAAGGGATGCCATCTTCCTGATTCTAGTTCTAGTGTCTGAACCTCCCCTGGGAACTTTCTATATATCCTGACTTAGTTGAAATATTCTAAGGACAGAAAACTCCCAATTCTCATTTTAGAATACATATATCTTGAGAAAATTATGATAAGCGAGCTGTGGTCTATACTCAAGCTAGAGCTATCTCTTACTCTTTTTCTTTTTTATTCTTTGAGTATTTCAAACATGTATGTAATATATTTTGGTCATATTTTGTAGATGAAATTCTAAACAGTCTTAGTAAATAAGAAACACAGAAACAAATACAGAAGAAATAGCCAAAGGGATCAGAGCAACAGCCATGACTAGCATTAGCTTACCACCAGCAGTAGCTTCCCCAGAGAGAGTGATTTTGTTTTTGGTTTTTTTCCAGTCTGACTTGTGTTTTTTGTTTTTTTTTTCTTTGAAAACATTTTTTTTTATTTTTTTTAATTTATTTTAGAACACCATTCAGTTCAACATAATAGCCACAGATTCCCCTGTTCTCCCACTCTCGCCCCGCTCCGCCTCCCCCCAGCCCACCCCCCCATTCCCACCTCCTCCAGATCAAGGTCTCCCCCGAGGACCGGGGTCGACCTGGTAGACTCAGTCCAGGCAGGTCCAGTCCCCCCCTCCCAGACC